TTATGTTTCTTTGAACTTTAGTCAGTGATGAAAACGTCTTTCGTTATCTGATGTCATCGACTATGAAAAAGTGATATGTGAAAATGCACATTTGCGTGCCAGTGAAGAGAAATTGACAAAAGAGACTGCTCTACTTGAACAGAAACGCCGAGAAAATGAAAAATTGAACTGCGAAAATCTAAAACTGAACAACGAAAATCAAAAACTGAACACTGGTTTAAAGGAATTCGAAGGTAAGTCTCTGTTTTTATTTTTCCCAACTTTCATATGTTTGAAGCTCCATCAGCGGTTATTTATCTCATTAGTCAAAATACAGTCCTTCAAGCGTTAGAATTACGTCATCAGAGCATTCAAATTACGTAACTAGAAACGTAAATTACTGAACGTTCTTGAGTTGAAAAAAAATTAATTCGATTAATTTTGTGTTCATCATGCAGACGTGATACAAGATTTTAAAATGAAATGCACAGTTCTTGAAGACGAGACCAAAGAACTTAAAATGCAGTTAAAAAAATATGCCACTGCTGTTGACGACTCGATGGCGAAATGTCTTCAACTGCAACGAGATAGGGAGGAAGAGCTTGAAGATAAATACCGTCTGCAAATCGACGAAGGAAATGCAAGAATCGCCGAGCTGAATAATGAAGTTGTCAAACAGTCTAAGATAATTTCCAAACTGAAGAAAGAAAATTACAAACTAAATATGTGTTTAAGAGAATGCGAAGGTATAATCCAAAAACATATTGTGTTTCAGCATATTATAGGACAACGTCAAGAGTTTAAGCATTAATTTTATTTTGTCTACGAAAGAGGCACGGAATGTTCACCAAAAAAACAGTACTTGCTGTTTTGTTTTTATTCTTTGCATTCTTTTGCAATTCTTGAATTTCAAACGATTGCAATGTGGAAAGCCTTGTTTACTTACAATTTCCACCATGTCTTTTTAATCAAAAAGAAGTATGTTTGGCTTTCACAGCTCTCACAGTGCAATTAGAGATTTTCAGCATTGCAATTACAAATTTTAACAGTGCAATTGCAGATAAACTGCACTGCCATCATCCAATCACAGTCGAGAAATATCTAAAAGTGTGTTATTATACGAATAATTATACGAGAATTTATCCCTGGACAAATGAAGTTCTTTAAAATAAACCTACTTGAGGCGGTTGACGTATTTGAACAAAAAGAAAAGGAAAAAAACGGTTTGCCAACGTCGAAGGAAACAAAATACAACTGTTTGCCTGAATTCCTTCGATTTTGCGTAAAACAAATAGATTACACTTAACCATTGTCTGTTCAGACATAGATACACGTGTTTTGAAATTTTGCTACTTGCGGTGCAATAATTATTTCGTTTAAAAGGGTTTTTCGCTTCCTTTTACCGATGGTACATATGATGCAACGAGCAACTCATAAAAATATTGGTGTTGCCAGTTTTTGAAATAAATTACAATGTATTTCCATTTCCAAATACGTTAGAGGCAGTTTAATTTGTAAAATTTTATTTAAGAAATAAAATGTGTTTACTATGTTTGCACAGGCTCATTCAAACCGAGGCGACCTTTGGGAGAACACCAGAGCAGATCAGGGCAAGGTTGCCCCTACACGAGAATTCTCACAACGTCTCCGAGGTTAGCATAAGCCAGTGGAAACACGATAAGTTTCTTTCGTGTCTTTTATGAAATAGCGATAATGCAAGATTAACAAATTTAAAAGAAATGTTTAATATTTCGTCTACCATGTATTCATTGTCTATTTGGAAATTCTCTTTGCTTGATTGATTTGATGGTTGAGCTCAAATCGGTTTGCACAGGCTAATGAAAAGTGTAAACACAGCTATAGACCAATCGACGCACGTGTTTTATTGTTTTTATTTCATAATCTTTAAAAACTCATAACCATTTGTTTTGTTGAGAAGGTTTATCCAATTCAAAATTGACCAACTATAATTTAATTCAACTTACACTAGCTCCATCTCTAGATGTTACGCATGTTTCAAACGAAGACTTATAAACGAGATTACATGACTTCATAAAGGACTTTCACGAAACTCGTTCATTTGTCATGCGGGCTATAAACTCTGTTAATGATGTGACTAATTTTTAGACGAATTACAAGACTTAAAGTTTGAGTTCCGTGATCTACAAGATGAACACGAAGAACTTAAGACTTCGCTTGATAACACAGACGGCAATCCTGCAACTACGATCATCGCTGTAGATAAAACCAGTGAGATTGAAATACTGCGCGCGAAAATCAACGCTTTGGATAGCGATGCGGAACGTTATCGCTGTGCAGTCGGAGAGCTCGAGAAAACTAACGAAAGAGAAAAGACGATGCATCTTGACATCGCCGTGAAAAAGATGCTTGCTTTGGAAAAAGACGTTAGTTTGTTTGCCAGACAGAGCAGCGAGCTCAAAGCTGAGATAAAGGCTCTAAAAAATCGCGATCACGAATCTTCTTTTGATGTAATTGATGGTGAAACAGCCGGGTAAGTTATCGCACATTTATTTATACCGTTTTTCCTCTATTTAGCTCCTGGATTTTTACTTCCCATAAAGTGGGAGATAATTTGAGGATGAGTCTTATACGAGGAGTGGGGGGGTGGGGGGGTGGGGTACATAAATTTTTAGAAAAGTTGCCAATGAATGCTATTATATTCAATACTTACTTGAATTTAAAAAGATTTTTTACATTAGTAAACTCAAATTTATAAACGCGGGTATCAATGAATAGAGCTTAATTAGTTTGTTATAAATTCATTTAGATGATTTTATCAACTTTCCGGTGATTTTTTAATTTACTAAAGAGGGAGATAAATGAAGACATAACTTCTTTTTTCTACCTTTTAAGGCCTGTAGATAAAAAATGTTTCCCATTAAATGAAAACACAACCTTTGTTGCATTTGAGTTGATCAAGAGAAACAATCGCAAAGGAAAGCGTACTTAAAATAAAAATAGTCTGAACACTAGACAGTTAAGATTCTATCTTCAGGTCATTTTGCCAAAATATATGTATTTAGTATTACTACTATTACATTACGTCGTGTTATTTAAATTATTAAATTGTTGCGAAGGTCATTACTTATAATATGTTTCTTCCTGTAATAGACCATTTTTACACAATTTTTATGACGTCTAAGACGGTATATCGTGTTGGTTAAATTTCGGTAATGGTTATCTTTATACAAAGGTCTTGAAATAATAAAGAAAATGAGTAATTTAAATGTATCCCATCAACCTTCGCGAAGAAGCTTTTCCAATGCTTTCCACCTTTCTTTTCGCCGCGTCAGATTTAATGGATCCTCGCGTTTAAGTTGCGCGACCATATTTTGGTAACAATGTTTTCAAGCTTTTTCCGATGTCTTCTTCATTCTTGTAGGCAGAAGCAGTGTCTATAATACACAATGAAATAAAAACTATAATTCTCTTATCAATTTCAACGACCATTATTTTACTCTACTTATTTTCAATCATTTCTGGTGTAATCCTTGTGAACTATGTAAATTCTTTCTCAGTTTATTTGACAGGCGCAATTATGATGCAGAAAACATTTACAATAGGTACAATGCATGCATTATTCTTTCTTGGCCATGTACGTATATACAGGATCTTGCTGGATAATTTGGTGAAATAAATTTTATATTCACTTCACCATTCTTCTAATTTATTACAACATTGATCCTCGCGTTTAAGTTGCGCTGCTCCAGGCCAATGAATCAGATATAAATCTAAATATTCGTATCCGATGTTTTCTATTGCTCGTAAACACGCACTGTACGCAGTATCAAGACCTTGATCATTTAGAACTTTAAACAAATATAAAAATATGTTTACAACAAACTGTCTTCAGATTGGAATTTCCATCGAGCAGTTACCGTACAGAAGTAAAAAACCGTCTTCCCGTTTTACAGTTATTGTTGTACCTAGATCCTTGCAATTATTTACGCTTACCGTCTTGTCTATTAAGGAATACGTGTCCTCTCTTCACCAATTACTGCAAAAAACAGACTTAATGCAGAGCGGTTTTGCTATGACATAACATGCAAATTGAAAATTGCCTATAGGAGAAAAATGATTCAACTGATTCGCTATATCAATACTTCATACATCTGCATCCGCTCGCAAAATGAAAAAGCCTTGCTGAAAAATTTTGTATCACGAAAAAAACACGACATCACAAATTGTCCTAGACAGACCAACAAAATGTGAAGGTGAAAAAATATCTCAAACTGGTCCGGGTGTGGCGGTCTGAGTTAGCCATTATACTGAGATTGTATTCCGTACACTCCACAGTAATAACGCATTATATAGTCCTAATACTTACAAACATTATACACCTATTTTTTCGGTTGATTTCTGAATGTTTTAATATTCTCAGTCTCTCAGATCGCCACACCGACAGCAATATGTACATCACAATTGCTACAAGCGACCAGCGCGTCAGGGTACATTCCTTTCCCAATGGAGAGAGAAATATTTCGATCATTGACAATATTTTCGACACTCACCAAGCTTGCTAGTTATGAATATGTCAGATCTTTTAAGACCATATTTTGGTAACAATGTTTTCAAGCTTTTTCCGATGTCTTCTTCATTCTTGTAGGCAGAAGCAGTGTCTATAATACACAATGAAATAAAAACTATAATTCTCTTATCAATTTCAACGACCATTATTTTACTCTACTTATTTTCAATCATTTTTGGTGTAATCCTTGTGAAGTATGTAAATTCTTTCTCAGTTTATTTGACAGGCGCAATTATGATGCAGAAAACATTTACAATAGGTACAATGCATGCATTATTCTTTCTTGGCCATGTACGTATATACAGGATCTTGCTGGATAATTTGGTGAAATAAATTTTATATTCACTTCACCATTCTTCTAATTTATTACAACATTGATCCTCGCGTTTAAGTTGCGCTACTCCAGGCCAATGAATCAGATATAAATCTAAATATTCGTATCCGATGTTTTCTATTGCTCGTAAACAAGCTTGAAAACATTGTTACCAAAATATGGTCTTAAAAGATCTGACATATTCATAACTAGCAAGCTTGGTGAGTGTCGAAAATATTGTCAATGATCGAAATATTTCTCTCTCCATTGGGAAAGAAATGTACCCTGACGCGCTGGTCGCTTGTAGCACTTGTGATGTACATATTGCTGTCGGTGTGGCGATCTGAGAGACTGAGAATATTAAAACATTCAGAAATCAACCGAAAAAATAGGTGTATAATGTTTGTAAGTATTAGGACTATATAATGCGTTATTACTGTGGAGTGTACGGAATACAATCTCAGTATAATGGCTAACTCAGACCGCCACACCCGGACCAGTTTGAGATATTATTTCACCTTCACATTTTGTTGGTCTGTCTAGGACAATTTGTGATGTCGTGTTTTTTTCGTGATACAAAATTTTTCAGCAAGGCTTTTTCATTTTGCGATTGGATGCAGATGTATGAAATTTTGATATAGCGAATCAGTTGAATTATTGTTCTCCTATAGGCAATTTTCAATTTGCATGTTATGTCATAGCAAAACCGCTCTGCATTAAGTCTGTTTTTTGCAGTAATTGGTGAAGAGAGGACACGTATTCCTTAATAGACAAGACGGTAAGCGTAAATAATTGCAAGGATCTAGGTACAACAATAACTGTAAAACGGGAAGACGGTTTTTTACTTCTGTACGGTAACTGCTCGATGGAAATTCCAATCTGAAGACAGTTTGTTGTAAACATATTTTTATATTTGTTTAAAGTTCTAAATGATCAAGGTCTTGATACTGCGTACAGTGCGTGTTTACGAGCAATAGAAAACATCGGATACGAATATTTAGATTTATATCTGATTCATTGGCCTGTAGCAGCGCAACTTAAACGCAAGGATCAATGTTGTAATCAATTAGAAGAATAGTGAAGTGAATATAAAATTTATTTGACCAAATTATCCAGCAAGATCCTGTGCATACGTACATGGCCAAGAAAGAATAATGCATGCATTGTACCTATTGTAAATGTTTTCTGCATCATAATTGCGCCTGTCAAATAAACTGAGAAAGAATTTACATAGTTCACAAGGATTACACCAAAAATGATTGAAAATAAGTAGAGTAAAATAATGGTCGTTGAAATTGATAAGAGAATTATAGTTTTTATTTCATTGTGTATTATAGACACTGCTTCTGCCTACAAGAATGAAGAAGACATCGGAAAAAGCTTGAAAACATTGTTACCAAAATATGGTCTTAAAAGATCTGACATATTCGTAACTAGCAAGCTTGGTGAGTGTCGAAAATATTGTCAATGATCGAAATATTTCTCTCTCCATTGGGAAAGGAATGTACCCTGACGCGCTGGTCGCTTGTAGCAATTGTGATGTACATATTGCTGTCGGTGTGGCGATCTGAGAGACTGACAATATTAAAACATTCAGAAATCAACCGAAAAAATAGGTGTATAATGTTTGTAAGTATTAGGACTATATAATGCGTTATTACTGTGGAGTGTACGGAATACAATCTCAGTATAATGGCTAACTCAGACCGCCACACCCGGACCAGTTTGAGATATTTTTTCACCTTCACATTTTGTTGGTCTGTCTAGGACAATTTGTGATGTCGTGTTTTTTTCGTGATACAAAATTTTTCAGCAAGGCTTTTTCATTTTGCGAGCGGATGCAGATGTATGAAGTTTTGATATAGCGAATCAGTTGAATCATTTTTCTCCTATAGGCAATTTTCAATTTGCATGTTATGTCATAGCAAAACCGCTCTGCATTAAGTCTGTTTTTTGCAGTAATTGGTGAAGAAAGGACACGTATTCCTTAATAGACAAGACGGTAAGCGTAAATAATTGCAAGGATCTAGGTACAACAATAACTGTAAAACGGGAAGACGGTTTTTTACTTCTGTACGGTAACTGCTCGATGGAAATTCCAATCTGAAGACAGTTTGTTGTAAACATATTTTTATATTTGTTTAAAGTTCTAAATGATCAAGGTCTTGATACTGCGTACAGTGCGTGTTTACGAGCAATAGAAAACATCGGATACGAATATTTAGATTTATATCTGATTCATTGGCCTGGAGTAGCGCAACTTAAACGCGAGGATCAATGTTGTAATAAATTAGAAGAATGGTGAAGTGAATATAAAATTTATTTCACCAAATTATCCAGCAAGATCCTGTATATACGTACATGGCCAAGAAAGAATAATGCATGCATTGTACCTATTGTAAATGTTTTCTGCATCATAATTGCGCCTGTCAAATAAACTGAGAAAGAATTTACATAGTTCACAAGGATTACACCAAAAATGATTGAAAATAAGTAGAGTAAAATAATGGTCGTTGAAATTGATAAGAGAATTATAGTTTTTATTTCATTGTGTATTATAGACACTGCTTCTGCCTACAAGAATGAAGAAGACATCGGAAAAAGCTTGAAAACATTGTTACCAAAATATGGTCTTAAAAGATCTGACATATTCGTAACTAGCAAGCTTGGTGAGTGTCGAAAATATTGTCAATGATCGAAATATTTCTCTCTCCATTGGGAAAGGAATGTACCCTGACGCGCTGGTCGCTTGTAGCACTTGTGATGTACATATTGCTGTCGGTGTGGCGATCTGAGAGACTGACAATATTAAAACATTCAGAAATCAACCGAAAAAATAGGTGTATAATGTTTGTAAGTATTAGGACTATATAATGCGTTATTACTGTGGAGTGTACGGAATACAATCTCAGTATAATGGCTAACTCAGACCGCCACACCCGGACCAGTTTGAGATATTTTTTCACCTTCACATTTTGTTGGTCTGTCTAGGACAATTTGTGATGTCGTGTTTTTTTCGTGATACAAAATTTTTCAGCAAGGCTTTTTCATTTTGCGAGCGGATGCAGATGTATGAAGTTTTGATATAGCGAATCAGTTGAATCATTTTTCTCCTATAGGCAATTTTCAATTTGCATGTTATGTCATAGCAAAACCGCTCTGCATTAAGTCTGTTTTTTGCAGTAATTGGTGAAGAAAGGACACGTATTCCTTAATAGACAAGACGGTAAGCGTAAATAATTGCAAGGATCTAGGTACAACAACTCCAAGTTCTTTTTAATTTTTCGAGCATTTGCTTGCAATACGGCATCTTTTACTTTATATCTGACCGTTACTTTCTTTTTTATTAGTAGTTAAAGTTTCAAGGCGTGTTATTGAAATGGAACCAGATAGTACTTTCAAAGTAAGAAACAAGTTAATGGGAATCATCAAAGCTATTCGTCCCATCGATGTTGCTGTAGTTGTCAGCTCACTTGTCGCTATGTACTTGTTTCGACCGCAAGACGGTTTCCAACTCATGCCTATATGGCAGCTAAAAGAAACTGAATCTGCCGAGCAATCTATCAAGTACTATTAGATATCACTCATTTTCATTTTTAGTTTTATTTTCATCAGTTTCTAAAGCTTTGTGAACGTTTTATTTTAACTCTTTAGGGTTCCACCATTGATAGTTGATTTTGATGGAAACGGTCTTAAAGGTAACTCTATATTCCGAAAGGCTCGCTGTTAAAATTTATTGTACTTGTTTTTATTATTTTTTTCTCACAGAAATCATCATTGTATCTGGTAGTGGAGTAAAAATGTTTTCATTTCATTCGGAAGACTTTGGCGATGAACATGATGCTTCCGAAATGAAAGAAAACAAAAATTACTCCAGTCCTGTGCTCTTCCATCTTCACCAAAAGGTTTTTCTTTTTGGTTTATACGAAGTAAATGTCGAAGGAGCAATAAAATCAATATCTTTTACATAGAAGATATCTTTTACATAGAAGGAATATCTTTTACATAGAAGGAGCAATAAAATCAATATCTTTTACAATATCTTGAACAAGACAGAAGTGTTATATCCTATTGCAATGAACTCAGGCTGTATGTCTCATAGAAATAACATCTGCCCTCAGGTAAATAAATGAACAGCTGGTAATTTTTACATTTGGTGGAATTTGAAACAGAATACCAAACTGAGTAGCAAAAAAATGGAAATTTGTATGTGAATTTTTGATATTGAAATTTAGAGGAAATTGGTGTTGAGGTTTTTCTTGAGACTCTTTAAGAAAGTTGTTGTCCCAGTTATCAACATTGCAAATATATGACAGGTTTTGGCTATCATATGGAATGACTGGTCTGTTACATTATTATCTCATGATATGAAAATATTATGGAAATCCAGACCAATGACATTAAGCCTTGATTCAAACTTACAATTTACGTAAGTGTTGATTATTCAGTATTTTGATCAAAACGATGTGACTCCAGTCAATCATTGTTGCACTTCTTTGGAGTATTTTTGAAATGATTTTGATAGTTTTGATTTATTTTAATTAGAGAGATGGCTGTAAAAGTTTGTTCTGGTGATGAAACCCCATTTGATGATGGGCTTGTAATAGTAAGTGGCGTCCTTCATCTTTCTGGTCATTCATCCAGTGATGTGAAAATGTAAGTTGATTTATATCAAATGATGCAATAAATATTTTGTCTTCATTTTCTTTGACTATTATGACTACACTTTGCAATATTTTTTTTTACTTGCTCTATATTATTGTTATGTGTGAAGAAATTAAAATGAGAATGGTATGTGTCTGAGTGTATTTATTTTTCCTTAGTTTGACATTTTTAATGTATTAGAAAATTTGTGTTCTGTTGTGTACTGATGATGTTGTCTTGTTTAAATAAACATGAAACATATTGTTCCAAAACATTCTACACTTTCAAAACATAAGATTTGGAAATGGGGTTCAATTTCAGCCATACATATGGCTTTGCTTGTTAATGTTGATCATTGTAAGAACTTTGAAGTCTTGACCTAATTATTTATTCAACGGTAACCGAGACAAGGAAAACTGATAATCCTTTTTTGCCATGAAGCCCAGCCCTGTCATGGATGGTTTGAAATAGTCAATGAAAGAGTTATATTGTGAAAGATAGCAAGCATTTAAATTTGTAATGAAAATCCCAATTTGGGTCCATGCTTCCTGATCTCCTGCGACAGGAGAAAAGTATGGTTGATTCAAATTCAAATGATCTTTTTTTGAAACTTTGTACTATTCTTTGATTTATTGTTAAGAAAAGCTTCATGAGAAATGCTTAATAATTGTATTATTTACATTCAAGAAATCATCATCACCCTCAAAGTACACAGGTTACATCAAACAAAACTCCTGAGGAAATCAGTAATGAACAAGCTGGTGTTGAACCGAGAACATTAATAATGATGGACTTCATCATGATATCAATCCTGTAAGTTCATGCATGTCAATAATGATTTTGCTTGCATTTTCTAAACATTTAGGTTAGGATTAAAAGTTTTCCAACGGCATCCACTCGTTGTGAGTTCATTTTAAACTTTATTATGAAAAAGTTTTGCCAACGGCATCCACTCGTTTTTGAGTTCATTTCCTAAACTTTAGGTTATGATAAAAAGTTTTGCCAACGGCATCCACTCGTTTGTGAGTTCATTTCCTAAACTTTAGATTATGAAAGAAAGTTTTGCCAACGGCATCCACTCGTTTGTGAGTTCATTTCCTAAACTTTAGGTTATGAAAGAAAGTTTTGCCAACGGCATCCACTTGTTTGTGAGTTCATTTCCTAAACTTTAGATTATGAAAAAAAGTTTTGCCAACGGCATCCACTCGTTTGTGAGTTCATTTCCTAAACTTTAGATTATGAAAAAAAGTTTTGCCAACGGCATCCACTCGTTTGTGAGTTCATTTCCTAAACTTTAGATTATGATAAAAAGTTTTGCCAACGGCATCCACTCGTTTGTGATATTGCAATGCATTTTAGTTGAGAATCTTTATCCATAAACCCATATCTTTCATTTCAACTGTTCAAAGCGTTTCTTGCGTGGAAGTAAATGTAACATGCTCACTAACATCCCTAGAATTTGACAAAATACATTGGTCATTTTACTACTTATGCATTAAATGGAAATTCTGGAAAAGTGGTGTGGAAACACGAACCTGGAGACTTGGAAACAAGTAAAGAATCTCATCAGGTGGGTGTATTAAAGTAGCTTTTTCTGTTAAAATATCACCCAACCACTCTTAATCATGGAAAATGGTTATAAGCACTTGATATCATAAACTCATTGTTAAACAGACCTTAGTTCAGTGACGTAGCCAGCAAGTTTTAGTCTTGCTGTGTAAATTTCTAAACATTATCTTTGTTCATTTCTTCAGAAATCTGTTGTTTTCATAACAAGTGAACACAGATAAATTAAAACACGAGAAGTAAATAAGCGGGCTGACTACTCCCATGGCTACGCCAGTGCTTTTGTGTAATGGTTTGTGGTTATTGTGCTATTTTGTGTTTCCATTATAGGATCACCGAACTTCACATTTCAAACTTCACCTGCGAAAGAAAGCTGCTCATCGTGGTGAAGTTTACTGGACAAAATACAGCGATTCGTTTCTCGACCATCTTCCTTTCTTTTGGACCCATCCCTCTGAAACTAGTATAACTTTGGCAGAGTTTACAACAGCCAAACCAAAGAAAAGGAAAAGGACAAAAACAGAAGTGTTTATGAACTTTGTTGGAAATGGTGGAATTATTGAAAATAAGACCGCGTCTAGTCAATTGAATTCGGTTGTTATCAGGGGCGGATCTAGGATTTTTCAAACATCAGTCATAAAACGTCGTAGGCGCTCCGCACCTGGGGGGGTCTAAGGCATTCTCCCCTGAGAAATTTTGAATTTCAGAGCTTTGAAAATGCCATTTTCAGTGTTTTAGAGCAATACAAAATGTATTTGTGGGCATCGCTTGCTTAAAAACAACACATTTTGCTTACGTTTTTTTCAAAAAAAAAAAAATGAAGTGAACAATACTTGAATGTTTTGCCAAATATTTAGGCTCAATATCATGCCAAATATATGACTCATTAGCATGTCTAGGAACGTAAAATTTATTTTGCAATAATGCTATTCAAAAACAGATATAGTCTATAAAAATTTCTACCAAGTTGTCAGGCATAGACCCCCCTAGAGACCCCCATTCAAACCTCTATGTAATGAGTTTAGTTAAGTTAGAAATTTGGTACTACAAGTGACAGTTCATAGATATAGAAAATCTCAGACTTCAAACCATGCAAGTTTATTTTAACCCTTTACCCATCTCCACATCAGTGCCAGCAAATTCACCTTTTGAGAAAAAACTCAAAATTTCTTTCTGCCAAAGGTTAAGCAAAAATTATCAGAGTGAAAATTTGCAGTTAAGGACAGCTTAATGCCATAAATGTTTATTAGGCATTTCACTAGACTATTATCTCCTGTAAGTATATGCAAGGTGTGCTATATAGCAATCACTAGTAGCATTGTATTTGCAAATACAAACAGAATGTAACCAACATGTCTTTAATTATATAATTACATGAATGTTAAAATTGGTTCATGTGTCATGCTTACTGGTTATGATAAATATCTTTTCATATGATCAAAGCTTGTTTAAATGTAAATCAGAAATAATTTAGTTTAGAAATTGTAATGATCATCAGAAAAATTACCTAGTGATCATGAAAAATACTTTGCTGTTTTGCCAAATTTCAAGGTTTATCTGCATACATAGAAAGACATTTTTACCTAATAGAAAATGCTTTTCATACATCAATAGCCCTATGGAATTTATGGCAAACAATCTGGTATGAGTCGTGGATTAACACACCTTTACATCTCTACATGAGGTGTTCAGTTAGAAAAGGGGACAATATGTGACATGGGACAACATTCCATGTATGTGAAATACTCAGGTTTAATACCATTCCAGTCAAATTGTCAAAATAAAAAGCTTCATGGATCAGAAGACTCAAAATCACAGGCTATAGTAAACAACTTTTCATGTAATCAATGTTAGTTTTCTCATATCTTAAACAATATGTAGTATAACTGTCCAATGATTGAATAATCAATGATCATAAACTGAAAAGCCCCAAACATTTGTTTATGATAAAGTAAATAATAGTATGGCGCCTTATGGCTATAGATTTTTTGTCCATTGAAATATATTTGCAGGAATGTAGGACTTCGCTGCCGTATAACGGCCACGATTCCCCAAGCACTAAAGAAATCATAGCTAAAAGTCCTTCGTCAACAACAATTTTAGAAGCATCGATCTGCTTACCATACGCCATATTGACATAAATCGCATCACACACTCGCATAATTGACTTTGATATATTACATTCATGCATACACTTCACTTGTCCTTTACTTACGATTTTGGATGTAAATTTCTGCTGATAAAACTCAAAACAATGTTGGCTTTCTTTTGAACATCAATGACTGAAATGTCGCTCGCGAGATCGTCTTTGCCAAGCATTTAAAATTTATCCATAAATTTCCACCCTCTTGAAAAAATTCACATTTTGGACAGCAGCATTCATGTCAATATATGAATTTGTAAAAGATTTCCATAAATTCCATCTGATTGTAGTTTAGTTTCTATCATGCTTATAAAAATTACTATGAAACGATCAAACATTCAATTCAGACAGTGAGCTTGACTATGTTAATTCAGTTGGCTATCAGTCGAAATCGTCAAACCAATCACAATAAAGCAAAAATTCAAATGAACCAATTGTAA